GCCCGATTCGTAGCGGGGTAAAAAACGTAAATCCGGGTCAAATCTACCAAAACCAACACCTGCATCCGCCAGATCTCGCCTGATAGCAACCTTTACGGCAGCTAGAGGGTCATTGGAAAGAACGTCGGCTCTGGCTATTACAGAGAGTAAATGTAATCGCCCAGACAAGAGATATATCGGCAGCAGGAAGTGTCGGCAGCAGGAGGTGTCGGCAGATACAGAAGGGGATCCATGGTTACTGGTAACTCAAGGATAACGGGGTCTTTGCTCCGGTTGAGAAAAGCTAGTGGTCCGAGCCCGGGGAAAGGGTGGTGCGGGGGGACCTGAGACCGAAGGTGACACAATCAAGTCGGGATACAAAAAGTATACGCTTCTGAGGGCACTCAGTGAGCAAAAAGAAAGACGACGCAACGGAAAGACATACGGGTGAACATAACGGTCAGCGCTGTGGGCTTTCCACTCCTGTGACCGACGTCAGTAACAAAACGAAAGTATTAAGTGGGTGCTCACATCCTCAAGAACTTCGGTGAAACGGACATCAACAAGATGAAGGTTTCCAGCCAACAACCGCAGCCTCATCTTGACTTTCATCTCGAAAGTCAAGGGAAGGAGTGTGGATGAGTGTTAGACCCAAGCGCTGCCTGCCTTCATTCCCTCCAACATTAAGGTTGACGTAGTTCGGCGGTGGGGCAGGTCTCCTGGAAGGAATTTGACGACAGAGGCAAGCTGATCTTTGGGGAAGTTGAGGGAAACGTTGCTGGTGTTGGGCAGTAGGCGGAAAAAGAAAGTTTTGCCTTTTGCCTGACCCAAGGGAAGCAATATATAAGGTTTCCCCAAGTGGATCGGTGTCAGGTCTGCTGGCATCTTGGTCTAAGGGAGAGTGAGGGAGTGGAGAGGGAGTCAGTAGATATTTTGATCGGTGAGACGCTTGGAACATCCCCGCAGAGAGTACACTACCCACCTATCCAGGGGGGCGCGTAAGGAAAAAGGAAGACTCAAGGGGCTTTATAGACGTGACGCGTTGTTTGTTGTTATCTGTTGACGTCACGCTAAATCGGTACAAGGCCCCTGACATTGACAATTTACGGAGGGCCTTTGGAGGCTGGTTCCCGAAATCAGGTATTTTCGGGTTTTCATGTCTGTCTTATTTCCGGTGAAACCTGTTCGAATTGCAGCTGGCCTTCGCCAACTTTTTCAAAATTGCCCGGATTTTGGGAACAGGTCTTCTGCGGGTCCAAAAGGCGTCCGGATTGCAGGATCCGGCTTTCTGAGACCTCAGAAGTTCTATACGAGTGGTTTAGAGGACCCTGCGAGCCATTAAACACTCATTTCCAGCCTAAGTTGGACAATGGTCCAGGCAAAGACCATTGAACAGAATCAGGTCAGTGGAGAGGTCAAACCCAGAGCGGTTCAAGGCTTGCGGACTGTGCACAAAACTGAAACGATGTTTGAGGAAGGGAGGAGGCCCGGGGCAAATTGATGAGTTTGAAGTATTGCCGTAACGATTGGGATTGCTCGAAACTGACGGCGGTGGGTAGGTTCAAAAACACGTACGACAATCCTCGCAAGGGCGCTGATACTGGTCGTCGTGTCCGACGATGACTGTTTCTAATTTCACATATCAGCACTACGTCGCTCGGTTCTAAATATAGTAAGACACTGACCTTCGCTGACCATTAGCTCATCACTAACCATAACCAGGACGTAATCTCCGCTTTTAAGCGGACGGAGAGTAGTGAAGTGTATGGTGGAGACAAATCCGAGACATGGGTTTTCGAGATCTTGTGTCTTTTCCCTGCAGCCTGTTTTCGAGGTACTTAGCCCAATAAGCTGTTTATACGACAACAATACGAACCTTTGTTGCGTTTAACGCCGCCGCCACTATCGCATTGGCCGTATTTCCCGTGGCCGGCGTTTTATCTGCTGCCTGGCCACCCTTTGCTGCTTGAAACCAACGTCACGACAGCTCGCTTCCAGGGGGTTGTTTGAAAGCTCAGAGTTTTCCATGTACTCGTCATCACACTATTCGATGGGGAGATCGAGTACAACTGTAATAAAAGAAAAGGGAGTAAGTTTAAACTTAACACAAGGGATTCTCCTTTTGAAAATACGCAGTCAAAAGGGCTAGTTGCGCGCGGCCAACCGACATTTACGCATAAAGTGGTATCAAAGGCGATTAAAACCAGAAGACTCGCTTAGACAGCTCATCCTCAAGGCTTCCGACGGTGAATTCCAACATCCTGTGCAGCCCAGACAGCCATGTACCAGACGACGTCCCAAGAAGGCATCCCGCCCTGAGATGATGTACACGATATTCTTCGGGTTCGCAGGGAGCTTTTCGAGTGCTTCGAGCGTCGCTGCGAAGGGAACGGCCATGGACGGAGTTTTCACGATGGATGCGAGGGTTCCCTGTGGTTCGTAGTCTCATTCAATTTGGGTTGAGAAGGGGAGGAGATCTGAGACGCACATCATAGTTGATGAAAAATAGCCGTTTCCCAGCTTCCTGATATAACTCATCTGAGCACTTCCTAGGAAAGGCATCTGCTTGAGCAACATGCTCACAGGAACCACAGCCCAGGCATAGGACGTGTGGGTGGTGATTGTAAAGCTTCCTCAGCGGACATCAAGAGACCTTGATTAACCGCGGCTGCTCGCAAGAGGTGCCGGATTTCCGGATTTTACTGTCCCTCCTGACAGTGTATGGCAGAGACAGCGAAGGGTGTACATTCGTAGTCAGTAATTTTCTCGGGACTGGAGCTCTCTAATTAGTGAGTAACCGTGGGTAAGCATCGCGTCTCAAGCTTCCTCTGTACGTCTCCAGCACCCTGATGCGTCCATAGGAAGCTGAGCTCCATAAGTGTATTTGGGCCCGCTGGCTTAGGGTGACTTTGGTAAGTTGGCTACAGGCAGACGCATACGGTGAGGTAGGAAAATAGAATTCATATGTCATCCACGATATCAGTAAGTATAGCTTGGGAGGTCGGTGCCGCTGATGGTGATTCGGGTGGTTCGCATTGGCATTAGTAGCCTGAAGGGGTGGCCTGCCGCGGCCGTTGACGTATCTCCCTCAGCCGCGGTTGGGGTTGGCCATGATGTGCATGGGCGGTCGGTGGCTATCTTCAGGTTAGCTTAGAATTTGTGGATGAGGGCAAGGGAGTCACCTGGGAGGTTGCGCTGGGCGGAATCCAGCTGCTGGAGCCTGGCCAGGCGCGGGGTTGATCTCGGGTCGGGGACCACGTCTCGGTTCAAAGGGGACCTCATTCCGAACGGGCGGCGGAGCTTTAGGGTTGGTAGACGTTATGAACTGTGGGTTGGGCAAGTTCAAGCAGGTGTTGAATTCGACCGTCGAGTCACGACACTTCGAGCACCTACATTTGCATCGTAAGCACCAAGCAAACATCTATGAGGGGGAAAATGACGCACCGATCCCCCAACGTTATACCAGACATGAACGGAACATCCCACACTACGTCTACAGTCTTCGAATTGAGCCCAATGACGACACCTTGACCTGATAGTGGAACGCTTCCAGAGTCTTGCACCATCGTAACACGGTCGCCCAAAGCAAAGTGTTGATTCTGAAGACGGTAAGCAGTGTGTGCAGGTTTGAGAACAGCTTGTCTAGGGATTCCTTTGACTATGGCCTTCTTGAACTGAGCTGACGACTTGTTCATTTGTTCTCCGTAAACTCATCAGCCATTCGCTTGATCTCCCCAACGGTCTCCTGCAGGTAGATAAGGTTTGGGTGGATGGGTTACAAGGCCGTGAAGCGACTATTCAGCTTACCTTGCCTAGTTGGTCACAGAAAAGGGAGACGGGCTCGAAATCTCCAACACCCTTCGTCTTTAGCCATGCTTTAATCACCCTAACACGAACATCAGGATCCGGCCCCGACAAGATGTCGGATGCCCTTGCCATCGCTATAAACATTTAAGGTCAATCGTTCGTCACTCGCACAATAACGTACATGTGCCATCTCCGCTGTCATCTAACGCTAACGAGAGGAAGACCTCGGGAAACTTTGCCTAATGATCCCATGCTTCAGTAAGTGTCAGAGCCCGTAAAAACCAACAGACCTTGTACTCTCGGATCAGGTCGATTGCCCTCTCGCTATACTCCCAATGCCGGCCCTCTTTGTGAGAATAGTCGACGACCTTCAAAGCCTTCGCTTCGAATTTGAGGCTCAAGCCGACATTGGTCCTCTGTTCATCAGACGTGATGACCATGAAACTCAACGTAATCTTCCCCAAAGCCCGCCCCGAGATTCCAACCGTCTCTGCAGCTTTGAAAGAGGGGAAGTAATGGCTAGATCGTCGATTCTGTACGACAGCTTTGAACTGGTCATTCTCAGCCTTTTCAGCCGGGAAGAACTATGCGGTGATGGGTTCAAGGCGCGTTATGATACAGAATTAGTGAAAGACGTACTCCAAGTATCACAGACAAACTGGTTTCGGTCGTGGCAGAGACCGAAGCAACCACCCCATACCCAGGATGAAAATCTGGGGAACTCCTCTGACAAAGGAGGTGCGTCGCGTTCGAGGGAGTGAGGATATTTTGAAGCAACTTCGGGAAGACACATCTGCACCGCACGTTCCGTTTCCCTTTCTGGGCCCTCATAGTCCTTCACAAAGGCACCAGACTCCAATCGCTTCAGGCCTTAACGTGTTGTAGAGTGTCAGCAACGTCCCATTGAAGGGTAGATAAGACACTCACCTTTTAAAGGAAGGACATGTAGGAGAATGTCAACAGTGCGTGTAACGACTCCTGATCGTTTAGAGTAAACCTGCTCGATACGATCGGCCTTCATCTTCCAATGGCCCAATCCTTGTGGCGCGTGTGGGTTTGAGACGACCTTGGCCGGTGTCCCAGGCACGACCGTCATCTTCTCGTACTTATACAACGAATCAGAGACCGCCACAACCGATCCTTCCTGCAGGAACGGCCAACCCATGACAGTCCGTTCACCAATCATCTTCAACTTCTTCCGTCTTCAACCCCTCATACGGGTTTCGTATATGCACCACCATCGATTTGTTCCGGCTTTCTGAACCTTGGACGTTTACGCCGTGGTATCCCAGTAGCGCCATGTGTGGAAGCGTTTTGAGGGATGGGAATCAAGCCAGAGCTTCTGTACCGAGAATACCCCGCCGCAAAGACCGGGAATGAGATGCAACCCATCAAGGATCGGGAGGTCGAACGGCTCCGTCTTGCACGTGCATCGATAGAGAGGGGGAAGAATCCAGGCAGAGATGAAGGATAGAGAGTGGCCTCGCCGGGGTTGAAACTGAATTTCGAGCTCGAGCCCCAAGTGTTCCTTTTTCTCTCCTTGGGGGTGAGACAATGATCACGAGCTGAAAGTGAATATATACGTTGGTGTCGTAAGACCATACTTTGGCTAGGAACGTACCAGTCATTGCCTTCAGCAGCCTCTCTTGATCAATGAATGTGACAATTGCCTCCAAGTCTTGCTTTTTCCCGTTGAGATCTTGCTCGAACTCGAGAGGGTAGAAGTCAAGAATCGGTGAGTTTGGATCATACATGAGATCCTTCGAAGAACGGCCAGCCGGCAATCATATCCGAACGTCGATATCTACCTGATAAGCTAGCGGAATGTGATCCATGCTAGCAACGGGCAACACGCCCATAAGCTGCTGGTACGGCTTGAATGGTGTTCCCAGCTGAACATCGAAAGACACTTCGTCAACTCCCTGCAAATCTGTGATTGGCAACATGAGCAACATCCAACATCCAAACCGACGACACACACCTCAAATCCGACGAGCGTAATGATAGTTGTAGAACCATCCCCACGATGCAACTCCACGTGCATGACCAACTGCAGGTCAGTAGATCAGATCACCCATTTCAGTCGGGTCGTCGTAAGATATCCCTAGCTTCCCCTGCGTTGGTGTCTTGTCAGCTCAAACTTAACTTGAGAACAACAAAAAGATCCCAACCTTATAATAACCCCGCTTCCACTCGTCCATCTTCTCTTTCAAAGACCGTTCATACCGCGTCCCATCGGCATCAACATCCTCAACAGGCGCCTTCTCATACTTCTTAAGCACAGGATCAACCGCTGCTCTGCTCTCTTCGTCTTCAACCTCAACCTCGTCTTCCCACTCACTATCCTCCTTCTGCTCGCCCATCTAAGGCTCATCTTCCAGCGCTCTCGGAAACCGACACGTCACCAGATTCCTGTCCTCCTCATCAAACTCGTCCCACATCACACTCAGGTGTAGATCCTCCGTCAACTTGGTGATGAATACTCGCTCCCTCGCAGGGAACGAGTTTATCATCGTCAGCCTTGCGGCTCGGTAGTGTGAAGGCGAGGGCGCGTTCCTGTTCTCTATCACAAACGCCTTGATCTTATCGAAGATCTCCCTCTGCGCCGTAGTTAAAACTGTCACCAACGTCAGCATTCCGTAAAAGATTATCCCATTGAGAGCATACTTACCTAGCTTCGCCCGTTTCCGCCCGTCTTCCATCTCTTTGACATGTTTTGCTTGTTTCCCCTTGTACCAATTCAAATCGGAATACTCCTTCTCAAACACCCCCTGTTTCCATTGAGTCATCTCGTCCAAAATGACTTGCAGTCTCTTCGTGTTGATCACTCCTCCCTCGTTTGTATAACCATCTACAACGACAGTTAGAAATGCAGCAAAAAGCGAGCGGGAAGACACTCACCCAAACCCGGCAATACTTTCTTGTATACATCAAACAACTTCTCGAGCCCATTCTCATGTATATGAAGATCGGGAAGATCGGGGAGAAAATAATCGTCAATCACCCGTTTGAGGTTATAGTCGAACGGCAACATTAGTTGAATCTCGTGGAATTTGAGGTCAAGATACTCTCTCATCAACGAGAGATGGAGTAGATAAAAGTTAACCGATTCTAAGCTAGTGCGATTAGAAAGACCATTTGTCCCGCCAACAGGGGTAAAAAGAATCAAGTACCTCGTATTCCCTTTTTTCCGCGACGCTGGGCCAAACTTGACCTCCCCGCGAAGCAAACACAAATGGGGATCATGGCTTAACAGCCCCAACAT